GATTTAAAGTCAACCCCAGCCCTGTGGGAAATAAGACAAGATGTAAATTGTTCTAGACGATTCTAAATTCATTGTTGATACGAGGTGAATAAACCGTTATATACACCGTTTATATATATATATATATATATATATATATATATATATATATATATATATATATATATAATTTAATAATGAATAAAATATTTTGAATTTGAATATGTTATTATTTGGATTTCTCTTGAAAAAAATTAAGTATCTAGTATGATCTAGTCATAAAAGCTAGCAACGATAATACGATAATTAGTTAACACTTAGTATTAATATAAAGCAGCAAAGTGCACACACTAAAAACTTATTTTGTGTGAAAGCAACATCTCCTAACTTTACAAACTAAAATTCCATAGACACTTTAAGTAAGAATAGAAGTTGTTAAAACACAATTTAAGCAATGCTAACCTCTCTACAAAGAAATCTAAAGAACTTATAAAATTCCACCTACACAATAATAAAGTCTCAGCTTTCGTAGATCTATTCATACTAACAATTATATTATTTAATACGAAACAAAATCCGTGATCATAAGTAAAATTTTATTCACAAAACAAGTGAAAATTGCTAGAGAACACTCGTGTCGAGGCGCAGAGAAAACGGGCAACTTTAATAAACTACGACCGCCATCTGCTCGAGACTGCTAAGGCTTTCCGCTCACTGACAAAAAAATGTAAGCCATTTTTATTAAAATTCACTTCTTGTTTTATTCAATACGTTGTTTAATGTTTATGGAAAACTTTTAAAATACGAAAATCTACAACTTTATAAATGCGAAAATTTGTATGTGTGTATATGTGTCATTTTTTCATGTTGAAATGGTTAAACAAATTTAGATGAAATTTAGTATATAGATGACGATGGGTAATGTATTTACACATACAACTTGCATACATACAGGTGGTTATATAGGAAAAAACAAGCCAGTACTACCCTTTAAAACCTTCCTTGTCTTAACGACGGCAGGCCTGTCCAAGCAGATCACAACAACCATGGGGTTACTCCATGCTATCATGGCACACCATTCACCGAGATGGGCCGGCTTTCAATGCGTTTCTTGCCTTCGCACCTGGCTGGCTTACCGGACGCTAATGAGCCGCCTACCACGTCTACCACACAAATGTCTGCCTACGTCTTACTCCTTTTAGTAATTAAAATTACCAAAAGGTAGAGCTACCTGTATTTGATATTATAAGTACAAAAGGTACTTAGGGACGCCAGTATAAGTAAACGTGTTAGTGTGCTGCCAGCTTTTTGTATAAAGCGGGCGATGAGGGCCATATGTCGAAGTTAGGAACCACTTGCACTGAGCGCGAACGGTTTATTGGTTTTATTCAAAGGCTTAATACATAAATTATTTGACTAGATGCTTTACATTTTGTTACATTTAAACGAACAATTGCGTATATTAAAAAACATTTTTTGATAACCGTCTGGATATACTAGATAGGTAGTTAGCTACCTACTGCTTATCATTACACTATTTTATGATGAAAACCGTTGAAAATCTGTTATAGTTTTTAGGTAGGTAAGACATACAGACAGACGCGGCGGGAGGACTTAAAATGTCGTGTTTGCCGCCGTGTCATGATTAATGTAAAATTAGAAATATATTACGTACTAAAGACTCACCTTCGCTCGGATTCAGCCCTGGTTGCGTCCCCATACAAACTTTCATCCCCATTTTCACCCCTTAAGGAATGGTTTCCGGAATAAAAACTATCCTATGGCGTTTCCAAGTTCTCAAATTATCTTCTTACTAAATTTCGTCGAAATCGGTTCAGTAGTTTCGGAGCTTATTCAGTACAAAGAAACAAACGAACGAAATAATCTTTCCTCTTTATAATATTAGTATAGACTAGCATTGCCCGCGGCTCCGCCGTTAACGTTTAGATAATGTTAACGTTTAACGTTTAGTTAACGTTTAGATGACCAAAAACCAAATTCTTAGGTTTTACATATTAGTATACTGTTACAATGCAGTTTTTGTATATTTTTTTTCAGAACTGAGATATATTTCCGTGGTAAAAAGTACCCTATATGTTGACCCGGATAAACAGCTATCATCATACCAAATTTCATCAAAAGCCCTCCAATGGTATTTCTGTGATGCGGTAACAGACAATAATTCTAAAAGCTAGATTCGGCCTCTGTATCGATAATGTCTATTTCAATAAGATTTTCCAAAAAATATTTAATGTACAGATTTGGCTTAGTTACAATTTTATTATATGTATAGATTATACTTTACTTTTGTGAGTCTGGATAACCAACAGCGAAATTTAATATAAGCAGTGAACTGGCAACCTAATACTATGTGTGTTTTATGTACTCTAATTCTACATTAATATCAATAGATAAAATTTTAATAAAAGGAAATAGCATGAAAGTTTAATAATATTCATATATTGCATAAAATCTATGCAAGCCAAAGTTTAGAATAAGTTCACACATGACGGCTTTTAGCCAACTTCCTCTTCAGACTTAACACCAAAATTAAATTAGAGATAAGTCTATTGTTTACGGTATTCGAACCTATTTCAGTGCTGTGTTGTATATTAATTTTCATATAAGGTAAATATTTACACTCATACAAATATGAAAGTTTATGAGTGTGTTTGTTATTTCTGCACTCTGAACAACTCAACGTGGAACTAGAGAGAGTTCAAAAGTGTCTACTTAAACTCATGTTCTTTAAGCCACGTAGATTTCATTGTTAGCACACTAACTGCAAGACAATTATTCATCATTCACAAGGTGCTGAAAATACATAAACAATTAAATTTCGACCCTAACACTTTTGTACAAGAAGAAAGTGTGTAGTTGCACTACACAAACCCACAAAAACTATTTTTGCGTCGAGACAATTTGAAAGCACAATTTGCAAACACAATAAAACTCTCTCACTCTCTCTCTCTCTCTCTCACACACATACACACACACACACACATGCACACGCACATGCGCACACGCACGTACACGCGCACACGCACGCACGCATATCATTTTAAATATGCAGACGTTCATGCCAGCCACTAGACCAACAAGGAAATTATTAAAAGTTATTTTTTCCTCTATTCAAATAAAATCAAAATATACTTTATTGAAATAGACTTTTACAAAGCTCTTTTGAATCGTCAATTTTACATTTCAAATTAAATGTCAGTGAAGTCAGTCCGTGAGAATCTACCAACGGCTCGGAATGCAGTTTTCTGCTGAGAAGAACCGGCGAGAAACTCATAACAGTTGCTCTGTTGCTATTATAGTATATGACTTGTGACGACATTGTTAGACTAGTGCTAATCATATTGCCCCCCCTGTACCATGCGGGTTGCTCCTGGTACTTCTCTGATAGCAGAGTGGACTGTGGAGCAACCCCGTGGTTGTTGTGGTCTGCTTCGGCAGACCTGCCGTCGGGGCGTCGTAGTTGAATGCGTAAGCGATCCTGCGACGCCCCATTAAAACGGGGGAAGGTTTTGTTGGGTTTTAGTGGGTAGTACTGGCTGTATTACGCCGGTGAGTCCCACACGTCGTGCGTAAATGCATTTCCCAACTTAAAAAAAAAAAAAAAAAGTGCTAATCATAATACTTGTTTTATATAATACTTGTTGTAGCATTTGAATACTATTGTATATTTTTTAGTCAAAACAAATACTAATTTCTAATAAACAAATTTTTCGTTGATAATAAGAGCAGGAAACAAATAAAAAGTACCTAATTGATTTGTTTGTTTTATTAATTATATAAAAGCTTTTAATTTTTTATTATATATTATATATTATACTCTATAACACTCGCGTTATTAAGACGAATCGAACGACGTATGAATAATCAAAATCGGTTTAGCATTTTAATAATTACGAGAGAACATAGGATCGGGCATACATACATACATAAAGGTCAAACACATAACCCTCTTTTGAGCTTCGCCGCAGTGGAGCAAAATAAATTCGTTATATAAATATGAAGTAAATAATATTCCAATGACATGAACAAACGAAAAATTGTCTTGACATGAATTCTATGCACTTGGAGTTGGGTCTGACACGTGATAGCTTCATACTGAGTTTCAATATCATATACTAACTGACTTGACAGACGTTATCTTTTTCACGAGAAAATTAGTGATATTTGAGATCATATAAAAATGTTAAAGAAAAAAAAGACATTCATTTTTTCCCGGAAAATTTGGGCCGGCCAATGATTTTATAGTTTTCCCGGAAAAAAATCAATTTCTTTTTCCTAAAAACTTTACTATATTTCACAAATAATTGAACCAAATCGGTCCAGCCGTTGTTTTATTGACGGCATAAACAAGTTTGTGTTTCATAGTATTTGTATTAAAAAAAAAGAGATATTTTTCAAACTTTCACCCCCCATCGCACACCTGTAAACGAAGCCGTGCGTGAAAATAAGTTATATATTTTAAATAAGACTATCTTTTCGGGTTTTTTGCGGATTTATTTTGATTTTTAGTTCCCGGAGTGTCTCTCCTGTGACCACGATTGCTGTAAAGCATTCGAAACGTCGGGAACCAAAAATCAAAATAAACCCGCGAAAAGTCCTCAAAGATAGTTTTATTTAAAATAGTCGTGTAAATCTAAGTACAGTATTATCAAAAGTAAAATGTCTTTATGTGAGATTTCCTAGTTATGCTTATTTGCTACTTTAAAATCAATACATGTGCATTGTATCGGGAGCTTAATTTTTTTTTACATGCATTACACCATAATATCTCATAAATGCTTTATTTAAATCTATGAAATATAATATTTATTTATAATAGCTAAAATTCTAACTTTCGTTTATTTATATATACCAACACTTATTGACATACATCTTATTTTATTATCCTTTAAAAATATAATTTTTCTTTTATTATATAAATATTCTAAATACATAGATATATTGAAATAAATCTGCAATATGCTTTAACTAAGTAATTGAATTGTTTATTTATTTTATCATATATTCTTATCTTCACAAATGCCTGGTTCCGGAGAGAGTGTGAGGACGTTCGAGTTGTATTTAATTTCTTCTATCTGAAAAAGATAAATGTTATAATGTAACATAATCATCTATACTTATATTATATTACTAGCATTGCTCGCGGCTCCGCCCGCGTTCAGATGACCAAAAAGCAAATTCTTTGGTTTTACATATTAGTATACTCTTACATTGCAGTTTTTGTATTTTTTCTCAGAAATGAGATATTTTTCCGCGGTAAAAAGTATCCTATATGTTGACCCGGATAACCAGCTATCATCATACTAAATTTCATCAATATCTCTCCAGTGATTTTTCTGTGATGCGGTTGTGACAGACAGACAGATAAAAATTCTAAAAACTATAGATTCGGCCTCTGTATCGATGATAATGTTTATTTCAATAAGCTTTTCAAAAAACTATTGAATGTACAGATTCGGCTTAGTTACAATTTTATTATATGTATAGATGAATAGAGTCTATTGTAAGGACGAAATGTCTCGAACGAGAATTGTATGCTACAATTAATGAAAACTGTGGATACAACTATCGATTAATTCGATAAAACAGTGATTGTGTTCTATTTTGCATTTTTATTTGGTTCGATTCCCGGTTCATGAAGGCTTAGGTATTTAAAAAAAAATTAAATGCAGTTAATATTATTTAAAAAAAATAATAAAGAAATGTTTCCTTTGAGTAAATCTTGATAACTTCAATATTTAAAGTACTTTTCTTCCTGTCCCATCCATTTGTTCCAACCTGTATAATATCAGAAAGTAGAGAATATTAGAGGTGCGAGACCTAAGATTTGAACCCGCTTCACCTAGCCTCTAATCTAGCGCATTACCACTGAGCTACCACTGCCGTTGAGTAGATTTTTTATATTATATTTTTATAGGATTCGAATACAGATCCCACTGTTTACAATTATATTTAAATATATTATACTAGATACGCCATTCGGAATATATGTATGTATGTGACTTACATCATTAATTTTCCGCGTTTCATTAAAGGATTTTGTCAGTCGCTGAGCCCTCTTTTGTGCAGAGGCAGCGCGTTGCTGTAAAATCTGTGAAAATAAGAAAAATGTTGAATGAACATGTTGTAATTTGAGCTTTTATTTTGATTTTTTGTTCCTCATAGCACATGTTTGTTACTTTTTATTTCCGATGTTTCAAATGCTATATAGCAAACATGGTCGCGGTAGATAGATACTAAGGTATTTTTGAACATCTCAAAAAACAGTTTTTTCACACAGACATAATGTTATTTGGACATCTTAAAAAGTATAGTTATTTATATTATCTAAATCTAACTACTTTCAAAAAAAAATCTGTAGTAAATAAAAAAAAATCGTTTCGACTATATTTTTATTTTTGAATTAGTTTTAATATTTCGTATAGAGCATGCGTCGACACGTACTCGTACAGTACAATGAGTGAAATGAATTTTTAGTTTTAGTGTTTTGGAAATAGTTATATTTTGTGTATTTTTTAGTTTAAGTGTAAATAAATTTTTAAACAAGTTTTTTGTTTGTAAAAAATAACTATAGATAATTTAACGATATTTGCTTGTTTCAAAATAATTGCTTTATACAGTCTTCAGTGTAAAACAAAAATTACGTAAATGAATGTATGATTGTTTCTACTTTGAACTGAAGCTGAAGCAGCAAATTCGAGTTAAATAAAAACGCGAAAAAACGTTAGTATAAAGGTTTTTGGATATTTTTATGTTTGTTACAGTATTGTTAGTAACACTATTGTACAATGTAGAGAAACCATGTCCTGGACTTTGAGCTTTTGAGTAAGCTTTGAAATTCAATCTTATTCCAACAGCATTTTAGCCCTTATTATTAGTACAAAGCACTTCCAAAGTAAATTGAAAGAAAAAGCAATCCACAGACAATGTTTTTTTCTTCATCTATACATATAATAAAACTGTAACTAAGCCGAATCTGTACATTATATATTTTTTGGAAAATCTTATTGAAATAGACATTATTATCGATACAGAAGCCGAATCCATAGTTTTTAGAATTTTTGACTGTCTGTCTGTCTGTTTGTTACCGCGTCACAGAAAAACCACTGGAGGGATTTTGATGAAATTTGCTATGGTGATAGCTGGTTATCCGGGTCAACATATAGGATACTTTTTACTGCGGGAAAATGTCTCTTTTCTGAGAAAAAATACAAAAACTGCATGGTAAGAGTATACTAATATGTAAAACCTAAGAATTTGGTATTTGGTCATCTGAACGCGGGCGGAGCCGCGGGCAGTGCTAATTTTATTTATAAATTTCTTACCAACAATCTCCTTTGTTCAGCCTCAGCGAGTTTTTCCTTTATATCAGGTAAGCGTATGTCTGCGGCCGGCGGCAGTAGGAGTCTTTGCAAGTGTGCCGGTGGCGTGGAAGGCCGCTTGTTGCCATCAAACTCTTCGATCGGTATTTCGTAGGCTATAGCTACAATTCAAAATGGTTCACATCTTATTTATTCTAACATCCTATTTATTTGATACATTGTTGTTTTAGATGCCTTTTTTACTGTCATAGTAATTGTAAAAATATTTTTTAAATATATACATAGAGAGATAACTAGTAAGGCCCACTCGTTCAGGTTTTTTCCTAGTTAAACAAAATCAATTATATGTTACTACTTAAGAATATAAATGCAGAACCATGCAAATCGAAACTTTTCTATTATAATATATGAATTTTATTATGACGTGTTTTCCTGTATAAAATATTATCTCGTAGCAAAGAGTCTGACATACATATATAATATTCGAGCAAAACTGGATCATTATCTATGACGATTGATGTAATTAAGAATTTTGAGCTAACTCAAAAAAGGCCAAAACTAATATACTGACATAGACATATTTGTATACTTTTATAGCTTATTCGTCTTCCATTCCGAGGTTCAAACTCTTTTATAATGCATTAGTTGTATTTTTTTTAATATTCGACCTTTGTTAGTGGCAAAAGCAATTAGTTTAAAGAAATACTCACGAGGTTTAGGCTTCGCTGGTGTTTCAGGTAAAACGACAGTAGGCAAATCATCGTTATGGTGATTACCACCATTGCTATTTGTGCCGTTTCCATTCATCATTTTCCCTTCAACACCGTTATCATCCGCTGGAGAAACCACGTGACCGGAGGAACCACAACCCATATTGTTTACACTATTGTCTGTTTATTGTTCGAATATGTACGAAATATACATTGATATGATAGTAAGGCTTCTTTGTTGTGAAAAACTTTAGAAGTTTTTTAGTTAAACTTTTATTCCTACATGAATATGTCAAAATTTAAGAAGTTTATTACCGCATTTTTTTATTTAGTACCGCTAGTTTTAAGCAATTAAGTAATCGCTAAAAAAATAACAATGTTTCTAATATATAATAAAAAAGGGCACTGGCCATAAAAGCGCGCCTACGCAGCGTACGAGCATTATTTTTTTTATTTATAGCACTACCCCCAAGATATAATATATAAAATATAAATATATGAAGTCGGTCAAAACGTTAAGATGTAAACTTAGCTTTTGAAATAACTAATACTTTTTAAGCACTCTCTATAGGTATACATATATATATATATATATATATATATATATACCTACTAATATTATAAAAAGAAAAAATGTGTATTTTTAATGGATAAACTAACCCACTGAACCAATTTAGATGAAATTTGGTATGAAGATAGTTTGAGACCCTGGGAAGAACATAGGATAGTTTTTATCCCGGAAATCACCCTTTAGCGAGTGAAAAGGGGAATGAAAGTTAGTATTAATCATGTACGGTGATCAAAGTCAATTTCTCAAGTATGGGATATAAAACTCATCATACCTATGTATATATGTACAATTGTACATATATACAAATATATAGTATCTATCTATTACATACAAACTGTTAAAACCTATCTAACGGACTCGAGCGAAGTGAAGTCCCTAGTAAGGAAGAAAGCAAAGAACAATGACTGCTGACTTAGAAATAAAAAAAAATAATTATTTCAAGCTGCAGACGATAAACGACCCAATTCAATTAAGCCGTTTATAGGAATGGTATACCTACTATGGTATCCAGTCAATGGTGTTAAAAAGAGTGTGAGACGTCGTTTGTTGGTACGACCTACTTATTTATGTATTGCTATTGAAGGATTTTTTCAGCTATCATTAAAATATATAAGTTCATATATTATGTAGGTAGGTACTGGTTCGATTACCGCAAAGAAGATATTATACGTAAACAGACCTTTTTGATAAACTAAAATGTCAATAAACTGGAATTTTCTATTATTATGTAAAATTCAAGTATTAATATAATTTCATTGGGTAAATGGTACTTCATCATTATGTAAGTTTTACAAAAAAAGTCTAAAAGAAAACAAAGTTACATTTTATTATAACCGCTTTCGCTAGAACTTAGTTATCTCATATAGGTACGTATTGGACAAAACTTGAGAATAGCAACAAAAACATGGCCCTCGATTTAATTTTCATGCTCCGTGACTACTACAGATTAATTAATTATACTTATATGAATTGAATTAAAATTTATTATTTGTTATCTAGTTAGAAAATTGCTTACTACAACAAGAATACAATTTTATTTATTTATTTGACTATGTATGTACTGTATTGTATGTATTCAGCCCTTTTTAACATCCCAGTGCTGGGCACGGGCCTCCCTTCAATACGATACAAGCCATGAACGAATTAACCACAATTCGTCCATGATACAAGCCATCCACCACGCTGGCCAAGTGTTTGTTGGTGGACAATATTATACGCTTTCAAAATAAATACAATAGTAAATATTTGAAAATTACATTAACAAAAGAGTTGCATTAAAAACAAGTGAATATCTAAGCTAAGTTAAATTTCTATCTTGGTGCCTTATTTAGAAAAGTTATGTTTCGTAAACAATATTTTTAAATATTAAGAGAAAGAACAATATAAGTAGATTCCCGCCTTTACAGTCCCTGACGGTCTAAACAGAAATATAAAAATTATTTAAGCGTGTTTACATTATTAAATATTTGTCAGAAGTTATCTATACTCGTAGGTACACATAAATAAAATGAAAGTGTCGAGAGTATTAAAAATCGAGAGTATTAGTACAAAAGGAACAAAATCGGTACTACGCTTGAATTATAACGACTTACCAAAGATTCATCATATTCAATCAATAAAATTACCGAAACAAAGTTAAATCCGTCATCTTACGATCGATCTCCGTTTTTATTTCACCGTTCGCGCCTAATAAGGAAATATTGGCGGCAATTTATCTTATTTCCCCTGTTTACAACATGGCACCATTCGACGTTTCAGCGGTAATTTTTGCCGCCGGTAATTTTTAATCTGCGCTACCGCCTTTTGAAGTGAATGACGAAGGAATACATTTATTCAGCCTGATATTCCGTTTGATTGATACAAATTGTTCTAAAAAAATAAAATTTACTATAAATATATTAAATTATAAAATAAAGCAGTAAATTTTTTAAATTAAAACAGCTTAGAGCAGTCTTAAATTTTTAAATTGTAGGGAAAACTAAATAGAAATAAATTATTAAATGCCTAAAATACATAACATGTAGAAATAACCCGTGCTAAATAAAGTACCTACCTATCTGCATGGTTAACAAAAACATTAGCTTCATGCGACAATATAACCTATACCAGACATGATTGTATTGATGCTTTTATAATTTTTAATCGTAAAATATTCATCGATATTGAATTTAAAATTAACATGAACGGTCGTAGGCTCATAATAGTATAATTAATGCCCTGGGCGTTGATCGACGCATATAAAATTCATTAACTGCCGAACATTTCATAAATCTTATTTTATAAAACGTATGCTTTTTCAATGTTATTTTTGCTATCGTGAATAATATAACGTGATCAGGTGCACTTTTCCATGAGAACATGACATATTTTTTCTGAGAATTATTCAATTATATTTTATCTATGCATAACAATAAAACCGCAACTCGTATTGATTTTATACACAGTATTTAAAAATATACATATATCTGCCTCCTGTATGCGGAATTAGGCATTGTTTGACCTTTTCTATATTTTTTTCAACCGACTTCAAAAAGGAGGAGGTTCTCAATTCGACTGTATTTTTTTTTTTTTTTTTTTTTTTTTTTTTTTTTTTTTTTTTTTTTTTTTTATGTTTGTTACCTCAGAACTTCGTCATTTATTAACCGATTTGGACAATTTTTGTTTTGTTTGAAAGGGTATACTTCCAGATTGGTCCCATTTAAATTTCAAAAAAAAAAATACCACCCCTAAGGGTGGAAAAATAGCTAATGATGGATTTAACCTACTTCTAATTGTCATATTGACTTGAAACTTTGCAAGTGTTTCTATTTCCGTTGATAGTACAGTGGTTCGGTATTGTTGACCTGATCTGATGGCAAGGCCAGAAGGTGGATAGGTGGAACTCTTCAACGGCTAATAGTAGATACTTTGAGTTTGGGCTTATTTTGTTTGATTCGACAAGCCTAACACGTTAGAATTCTTACTTTGCTACTACTGTCTACACTAAAAAGGGAAAAATAAAAACTTTTTAACAAAAAAAAATAAAAACCGACTTCAAACAAAAGCACTAAAAAGTAAAAAATAACTGATTGGTAGTTTTCATTTACTATACATACCTAATCAAATATTTTCGAAGTCGGTGTGCTTTGGCTAAGTAATTAAAGCCTACCTATTAAATACATACCTAATCAAATATTTTCGAAATCGGTGCTAGCCCATATAAAGCAAAGCACACCGACTTCGAAAATATTTGATTAGGTATGTATAGTAAATAAAAACTACCAATCAGTTATTTTTTACTTTTTAGTGCTTTTGTTTGAAGTCGGTTTTTATTTTTTTGTTAAAAAGTTTTTATTTATATAAACAATCATGGCATGACCTAAACTTAAGTGATAAGTATGCATTAAATGGCGGGTAGTGACTGACGTAAGTGATATTTAAGTATTAGTAGAAAAAAACAGAAGTAGAAAAACATCTTCAAAAACATATATTCGAATTTGAATACCATGGCTCAAAATCGGTAAATATTGAAAATAATTTAGATGAAATTAATAATAGAGTGTATTTTTAACTCAATTATAATAAATACATAGATAATATATTGATTTGTCTGTCACTGTCACGTTAGAATCCTATGCACTTGGCACTCTATCGAGGGTCGAACAAGGGCTCGTGTGCGCCCGCTCGCATCGGCCGCGATACTATCCTTTCGATTAGTATAGGTTTTATTTTCCATGCATTCATAGCTTATTGCTGTGTAGTTGAAGCAAAAGGTTTTGATAATTGAAGTGAAACTTCAATTAAAGAAAGGGAAAAAAGGATTGTCGGCACGATTTTTGTAACGAAAACGGTTGATACTGAAGTAATCAATAGTCAATTAAAAATATTTAAACTGTAAATGAATATTTCTAAGAATAAATTTAATAAAAAATAAAAATAGATATTTACAAAAAAATATAGGTACTTCTTTCATTTATTTTTAAATGAACGATGGAAACATATTAAATTAGTATTGTTAAAAACATATTTGCCTCAAATAATGTTTTATACATTATAATTTTTTTTTCAAAAAAAAAATTACATCCTAATTGTGTTATTATATATTTTATTGGAGTATATAATTTATTGAATCTTTACATTATGTGATACAAAATTAAATTTTATCTTATCGCCATCTGCACTATGTGAATAATAAACATTTGTTTTTCTTTTTAAATAAATGAAAAAAAAATTTTTTTGTACCTCTTCTTTTCTAATTATTTAAAACACAAACTGAATTTCATAAAAAGTACCGATAACCTACAATAAACTAATTTATGATATGGAGAATAAAATAATCATTATAATTAAAATTTCCTGTTTTATTTTAATTGTCTAAAACTAAAAATTTTAATATTTTAATAATTTTATTTTAATGATTTTTCAAACGTTATTTATATTTACTAAAGAAGCCTAGCTTTTCTAAAAAAAAAAGAAAACATCAACAAACTATCACAACTGTCAGTTACACTACATTCAGGATTAACAATGCTTACACAGAAATTACAGGTCGCTGTAGCCGACACCCGACACCCTTGCTATGTGACGTGCTGACTAAAAATCTATGGAGTCGT